AATCTGTCACTACAAGTACAGTGGCCGTCTTATTGCCGCAGGGGGTAGGACAGGTTTTGTCTTGCAGAAACAGATTGAGACTTTGCCAGGCTTTCACCTGTTACTCATACCTCCAACTGATTTATTCACTAAACTGTAAATTGTATACATTTTCTCCATAATCCTTTTAGATTGTGAGCTCGTTTAGGCAGAGCCCTCTTCACTTACTGTTTCCCGTATGTCATACATGTTTTGTTAGAATTTAATGTTTGTTTTGTTTCCAAATGTACAGCGCCGCTGAATAGGTTGGCGTTATATAAATAACTGTAATTGTGTAACTTGAGAATTTGCACAAGTTACACCATGTTTAACTTTTAGCCAAGATTGGAACAGAGCTGCAAGATCTTTCATACTCTGCCTTTTTGTTTTTTTAATTTAAAATGTCAACTTAAATTAAGTATAATTAACCAATTTAAAATGTTTAATAAGACAAAAGCTAACATTTTTGGGGTGGAGTGGGGTGAGGAGCATCCCAAACAAGCAGTCAATTCAGTTATGTACAAACTAAAAGGTGCAATTATTTTACGGAAATAAGATACAATAATGATATGCTTGCCAGTACTCTTGCACCAAAAAAGGGTTTGATGTATGTATTCACTAAACAGTGAAATGTGGTGCATTGAAACTGTGAAAACCAAAACCAGGCCAAAGTAGTGAAAAAAATCTCAAATTCAAATCACTTTGAATCAGATCACTTTGGTTATTTTAGGTTTCGGTAATTTTATTTTTCAATTTATTGTTGGCTGAAAATAATCTGTGAGCTTTGTCTGACACTGTTCTGGGGGAGGATACAATTAGTGTGTGAAGCGATGTAGAAATTTAAAGTTCACAGTTTCCAAACAAGAGGTGACTTGTTTCAATGTATGGATCTCGATGTGTTCTGGGAGCCTGCACATAGCCCAATGGTAAAATCCAGTATTGTCTCAAATAGACGATGCATCAGATGATCATTCATGGATACTATCTGTCTTGCTAAACACTCTAGGTGGCAATTATTATGGGGGTTATATACAAAAGGTGTCAAGTTTTCTATTTTAGACCTATTTATTCCCTTAAAGGGACACTATAGTCACCTGAACAACTTTAGCTTAATAAAGCAGTTTTGGTGTATAGAGCATGCCCCTGCAGCCTCACTGCTCAATCCTCTGCCATTTAGGAGTTAAATCCCTTTGTTTATGAACCCTAGTCACACCTCCCTGCATGTGACTTGCACAGCCTTCCATAAACACTTCCTGTAAAGAGAGAGCCCTATTTAGGCTTTCTTTATTGCAAGTTCTGTTTAATTAAGATTTTCTTATCCCCTGCTATGTTAATAGCTTGCTAGACCCTGCAAGAGCCTCCTGTATGTGATTAAAGTTCAATTTAGAGATTGAGATACAATTAGTTAAGGTAAATTACATCTGTTTGAAAGTGAAACCAGTTTTTTTTTCATGCAGGCTCTGTCAATCATAGCCAGGGGAGGTGTGGCTAGGGCTGCATAAACAGAAACAAAGTGATTTAACTCCTAAATGACAGTGAATTGAGCAGTGAAATTGCAGGGGAATGATCTATACACTAAAACTGCTTTATTTAGCTAAAGTAATTTAGGTCACTATAGTGTTCCTTTAATTTGATGTTCTATTTACATACCTCCAACACTGGAAGATATTTAACCATAGCTTGTACGAATGGGTCTGAATATGCCCTTGTTGGTGAGAGGTTAACAGTACTTATAACTAAATATATCCTAATAATTTAATGTTCAGACCGAAGGCTTGTAGTTGTGGGTGAATTTATGCCTTCAAATAGATGCCCCAGTACCGTTCTCATCACTGCTGTCGGATGTAACCGTTTCCCTCCACACCCTTGTTTTTTACATTTTACAATAGGTGGGCCCTATTCTTTACACGTCTATCCCGACCATCGGTTCCGGCACATGTCAGCTAACTTCTCTTTTAGGCTTATTTTGGCCAGTCACGGCCTCATTTCCCCGACCACAAAGATCTGTTAATCAACAGGTTTGTACAACATGTATATACTTGGATCTGATTGTTCTTTTGACCCCTTACAAATATGATCCACTCATGTTGATGCTATCATAATGAACATCAGATGACAGTGAGGGAATGCACTGCACTGGTGTCATTATAAATACACAGTTGGCTTATAAGGAATTAAATTACAACATGCTACAGCTTGCTAATATAATTTCTTGTTAAACCACTTAAACAGGGGAACACAAAATAACTCTCCAACATTCTAAAGATATACTGTGATGGGATTCCAGCATGGTCAAAATTTAGTAGGCCAAAATCTCCATGTGGCATATGTGTATGTTGTGTCAGTTGGTTAGCTACATGTAGCTAGGATACTGTCATCAGTGTACTGAGCATGTGCAGGAATGCAGGAACTGAAATTGCACTTATTTCCTTTGTCTTGGATGAGCCATGTGGTTTGACTAGATGTACAAGTCTATAGTCTGCTCATTGATTGGTTAAAGGTATATGTGGGTGTAGCTATTAATGGGAGGAGTTATAGTGCTATATAAGGAATGTACACTATGTGTTGGTCTCTCAGATCTTTTGGAACAGGAGTTCATCTGAGACCCGATCGGTAATGTGAATAAAGGCCTGTTACTTCCTGAAGACCTGTGTCCAATATTTCTGTGTTTGGCTTCTGCATGCTTACACTGCAACATTTCTGGTGCAATTGGCCGGGAACCTCATTTGCATGGAAGCTAGCGCAGAGATTTGAGACGGTAAACTTTTACCAAACCTTCTACGCTACAATCCTGGACTTCTACTGCGTGGACCTCCTTTCGTCTCGGCGCCACTGGCCTTTTGTCCAGGAGATCATCGGCTTCTGCGCAGTGAGTCCCGGATTGTTCCGTCTATGAGTGAACCCAGGTCCAGTAATTAACAGGTGAGATTGATACCGTTAGAGCGGTAGACCCACAAGGGGTTTTATATTTGGAACCGGTTATTGGTATTGGCCCCTTCAGTAGAAGGAAGAAGTGAAAAGCGCAACACTTATCTGGAAATTAGACGCTCTGTAGTCAGCCCGTCTAATATAGGTGGTTTGGGTCAGACTGAGTTGTGGTGTAAATAGCTCATGTCGGACACCGGTGTCCTGTCTTGACTAGCGTATCTAGGGTGTAAATTTTGTTCGCTAGGTCGGGGGGACCGGGAGACTAGCATACTCTGTTGTATATTATAGTTTGCTAGATTTCACCCTATCTTAACTAAGTGTGCTCTGTTGTAAATCCAGCCACTAGCTTATTGATAGTTTAATAGACTAGCTGGGTACTGTGTAAATTCTGCCCTCTAGTTCGCTATACGTGGTGTCTGGGCAGCGAAGAACTTATCGAATCTCTGGTGTATAAATAGATCGAAAGCTCTCGAGGTGCTGGCCAGTTAGAATAGTTGGGATTATTGTAAATGTTGTTAAATATATTGTAGTTGGTGAATTGGTTAACTTGTATGTCCTACTAGAAAGTTAGAGCTCTGCTGTCTAGTGGGAGTGTAAATTGTGTGTATAACTGTAAAATAGCGCACGGTACCATAACTACTGACATGTACCATAACCACTGACATTGTGTAAAATTACTAACAATTGCTGTTTTATGTTATATGTATAATACCATAACTGTTACTAACTGATCTGTGACTTTAAAACTGTATTATAACCACTTACTAACTGTACCATAACCACTGACTGTAAAGATGAGGTTACTAGAATGTGATATAGTTGGTTAGTCAAGAGTTGATTTATAGTACGGATAATTGTAGAGATGAATTTGTTGAAATGTTATGTGATCGGTTAGTTTATATGGATTAATAGCGTGGATAGTTGTATGGTTTGAATAATAGTTACATTGATGAGTGTATAGTCTTTGGTGGGTTTTTTTTTGATTTAATTTTGTGTGTGCGACGTCGTGATATTGTTGAGCATGTGAGGATCCTGTGTGTGTGTTTGGGCCTAGTGACTGCGCAATGTGTTGCTGGTGATAAGGAGATTGGTGTGACTGTTGAAACTGTGTGTATATTTGTACAGCTTTTTGAATCAGATGCTCTGTTGAAATAATCTTCTGATTCACAAGGCTTTGTCTTGTATGTTTAAAAAAAAAAAAAAAAAAAAAGTAGGGAGTAGCTTGTCCTGGTGGCCGCATGGCCTCCATGTAGCAGTCTTCACTTAAATTTAGTGCAGGGTGTACATGTGGCTGTAACTAGTAGGCTGGAATTCTATGATCAGTTTCTATAAATTGACTGTTGGAAACTGATTTGTTGAAAAATTGCCTTGGTGAATTAAACTGTGTCATATGGGAAACAATGTAGCCATATGGTGGTCAGAACTAAGGACTTAATTACAACTGCTTTGGACATCCCCTCCCCCCCTGGCATCTGATTACCAACCCCCCAAACATCCTCCAGAGCCAGATTAGCCACGCCCATTTCTTACTCCCAAAACTGGTATATAGTCAGTATTTGCACTCTCCCTGCTCTGCTGTCCCCGCCTACCACACCATACTGTAAAACTATGTGTGCAACCCCGTTCACATGACCATTTCCAATCTGCAGTACTTTATTGACAGGTTTGGAGGTCTGTTTGGGTTTCAAATATATGGCACAGGAGTAGATTCAGGAACAATAATATATGTAGGTCTTGAAACTGAGACAGTGGCAACTCAAACTCATCAGGTTTCTCATTCCTTCTATGAGGAGATGAGTATTGAGGATAAAATTCCCCATAATGTTAACAACCTATTTATTGATTTGGCTGAGGGTATTGCAGGTAGTCTTAATGTAACTAATTGCTATGTGTGTGGAGGTACTAATATGGGAGACCAGTGGCCATGGGAGGCAAAGGAAATATGGTACCCTGGCTCTGAGACATATGAACAACAGATACCTTTCCAGTCTGATCATCAAGTAAGTACTAGAAGTAAATTGGAATGGTGGTTAAAAACCTCCATTATAGGTCATGTTTGTATAGCCAGGAAAGGGACAATGTATAACACGTCTGTAGGTGAGCTAACTTGCTTGGGACAAAAAGCCTATAATGTTAATACTAAAATACTACTTGGTGGTCAGCTTCAAATGTCTCGGAACCTACTAATCCGGTTGCCAATTACACTCATTTAAAGGAGGTATGGTTTGACTTATCGGCTACATCTAGTTGGAAAGCCCCAGCAAATTTATACTGGATCTGTGGTAAGAAAACTTATTCGGAGTTACCACAAGATTGGGAAGGGGCATGTGTATTAGGTATGCCAAAGCCATCCTTCTTCTTGTTGCCAATCGAAACAGGAGAGACCTTGGGAGTTAAGGTTTACGATGTAAATCATAAAAGGGAGAAAGCATCCTTGAATATAGGTAGCTGGGAAGATGAGTGGCCCCCTCAACGTATTATTAATTATTATGGACCTACTACTTGGGCAGAAGATGGCACTTATGGATATAGAACTCCGATTATATATGCTCAACCGCATTATTAGACTACAGGCGGTAGTTGAGATTATTACTAATGACACAGCTCAAGTGCTTAATCTTCTAGCTAAGCAAAATACCAAGATGTGATCAGCCATATACCAGAATAGGCTAGCCCTTGATTACTTACTAGCAGTAGAAGGAGGTGTATGCGGAAAGTTTAATCTAAGTAACTGTTGTCTGCACATAGATGATGAAGGGCAGGCAGTGGCTGAACTTACAAGCCACATGGTTAAATTTGAGCATGTACCTACTCAGGTCTGGAATGGGTATAACCTAAGTAGTTGGTTTGGAAGTTGGTATGAGCAGCTTGGAGGAATTAAGACATTAGTAGGAGGAGTAGAATTTATTATATTTTTTTTTTGTGCCTCCTCCTGCCCTGTCTAATTCCACTAGTGGTAAGGTCCCTACGTAGCATTATAGAGAGTACTATAGAGAGAAAGACAGCTGCCCATGTAATGGCTGTCTGGAAGATATGATCCCCTAGCCCGAAGAGAATATATTTAGGATGAAGAATGTTGAAGGAGTTTTTAAGATGCTTACAAGGTCTACTCTGGTTCAATGGCTACTTGAGAGATGTAGGTAAAACTGTGATTGGTGATGCATCTGGAATAATGTTATATCAGAGGCATCAAAGGGGGGAATGTGATGGGATTCCAGCATGGTCAAAATTTAGTAGGCCAAAATCTCCATGTGGCATATGTGTATGTTGTGTCAGTTGGTTAGCTACATGTAGCTAGGATACTGTCATCAGTGTACTGAGCATGTGCAGGAATGCAGGAACTGAAATTGCACTTATTTCCTTTGTCTTGGATGAGCCATGTGGTTTGACTAGATGTACAAGTCTATAGTCTGCTCATTGATTGGTTAAAGGTATATGTGGGTGTAGCTATTAATGGGAGGAGTTATAGTGCTATATAAGGAATGTACACTATGTGTTGGTCTCTCAGAATGTTGGAACAGGAGTTCATCTGAGACCCGATCGGTAATGTGAATAAAGGCCTGTTACTTCCTGAAGACCTGTGTCCAATATTTCTGTGTTTGGCTTCTGCATGCTTACACTGCAACAATACACGTATTTATAACGCTGAAGTTTTGGTGAAACTACTTTGCCTGACTATTTGCACCAGCTCTTTTCATGAAAAAAAGGGGTTATAAGAACACTATATCATCAAATTTCTTTATCTCAACAAAGCAGTTTTGGTGTATAGCTCATGCCCCTGCAGTCTCACTGCTCATTCCTGAGACATTATGAGAGATCAACACCCGCAGGTGATCTAAATACATCTATAGTTCATAGTTTAGTTAATAAAATCAAACTGACTGCTTATACAGCAGGTGCGATTTGAATTGGACTGAAGGTCCACTGACAAATCACTACACATACTCCACTTCTATAAATACAATCTTCATATGTTCTTAATCTGGGGCCCAATGTAACTTAAAGGGACACTATAGGCACCCAGACCACTTTAGCTCACTGAAGTGGTCTGGGTGCAGATTCCCTCTCCCTTTTAGTTCTGCAGCGTAAAACATTGCCGTTTTTAAGAAAACTCCAATGTAACATTGGAGTACCAAGACAGCCTCTATTACCAGACAGCCACTAAAGGCCCTTCTGGGAGTTTACCAGACTCTGAGTCGCCTGGCACTGGATGTCCTTGTCTGTACATCCAGCTTCAGTAAAATCCTGGCACTCACCGCGCATGGGCATTAGGTCCCCCCAACAGATGACGTTGGAGGAGGCGGAGCACTGAGGGAGATTGGGTAAGTAAATTAATTACTTTATTAAACCTTTTATGTATTGCAGGGGATAGGGGTGACAGGGGAGGGTGGAGGACAGGGGAGGGTGGTGCTGACTAACACTATAAAATCCCTTTAAACAGCCTCCCATGTCTCCCCCACACGTGTCATCCTTTTCACTCATTATCTTATAGCTGGCTGATAATGTAATTATAACAGATAAAGACACATTTTGAAGTTTATGCTGACATTCTGGTATTATGGATGAGACAGGTTTAATCATGTTAAAGCGGAGGGCACTTATACATTGCTGAAAGACTGACAAATTAAACGTGCTCAACCTGTTTCCTACAGAGCCAACACATCCAATCAAATACCAGACAGAGGAGCACGCCATATGAATACAGTTAATCTTTATTACACAATAGCAGTACAAATCCCCAAATAACAATAATCTTAAATTGTCTACAATAATTACAAATACCAAAATACAATGAAAAACCTATCCCTATTTTTTTCTTCACATTGACACTAATTAAAGGGTTTCTCCAAGCACCATGACCAGTTCAGTGATTTGAAGTTGTTGTGGTGCTGGAAATCTGTATGCGCAGCATTTCACTATTCAGTTACTAACCCGACAAGTCTATGATTTCAAATAGGCATCATAGTCACACAAAAATAACGTAATATTTATTTTGAAGAAAGAAAACAAACAAACCCCATTTTGATATAGAATTTTATTGTGCCAAAACAAAATAATGATGTTTTATATTCAAAGGCACACTATAGTCACCAGAACAACTACAGCTTATTGTATTTGTTCTGTTGAGTAAAATCATTCCCTTCAGGCTTTTTGCAGTAAACACTGTCATTTCAGAGAAAATGCAGTGTTTATATTACAGCCTAGTGATAACTTCACTCAGGGCCGCCATCAGGGCATGACAACCGTGACCGGGCCCCACGTGGATCAGCGGAACTGCCGCCGGTGCATCTGCACCGGGGCCCACACGCTGATGGGGCCCATCAGGTGGCCCCAATCATTTAGGGCCACCCAATGGGCCCTATTATCTTCAGGGGCCCGTTTAGCGCTGTAATAGCGCTACCGGGCCCCTTTAAAAAAAAAAAAAATGCAGCCGAAAGCAAGTGCTGCTGGGAGGAAGTGACGTCCGGTCACTTCCTCCCACTTTACTCCGCGCGGGAAGGAGGACGCAGCATGAGGAGAGGCAGCCGATGCCCATCATCCCCAGCCACCTTCCTGCGACGAAATGGTAAGGAAGAGAGGAGGGTGGCTGGGGATGAAGTGTATGTGTGTATGCCAGTGTATGTGTGTGTATGCTGGTGTATGAATGCTAGTGTATGTGTGTGTGTATGCTGGTGTATGAATGCCAGTGTATGTGTGTGTATGCCAGTGTCTGAATGCCAGTGTATGAGTGTCTGAATGCCAGTGTATGAATGCCAGTGTGTGTATGCCAGTGTATGTGTGTGCCAGTGTGTGTGTATGAATGCCAGTGTGTGTATGCCAGTGTATGTGTGTGCCAGTGTGTGTGTATGAATGCCAGTGTGTGTATGCCAGTGTATGTGTGTGTGTATGCTGGTGTATGAATGCCAGTGTATGTGTGTGTATGCCAGTGTCTAAATGCCAGTGTATGAATGCCAGTGTGTGTATGCCAGTGTATATGTGTGTGTATGCTGGTGTATGAATGCCAGTGTATGTGTGTGTATGCCAGTGTCTGAATGCCAGTGTGTGTCTGAATGTATGCCAGTGTATGCCAGTGTATGTGTGTGTGTATGCTGGTGTATGAATGCCAGTGTATGTGTGTGTATGCCAGTGTCTGAATGCCAGTGTCTGAATGCCAGTGTGTGTATGCCATTGTGTATGCCAGTGTATGTGTGTGCCAGTGAATGTGTGTATGAATGCCAGTGTGTGTATGCCAGTGTATGTGTGTGTGTATGCCAGTGTCTGAATGCCAGTGTATGTGTGTCTGAATGCCAGTGTATGAATGCCAGTGTGTGTATGCCAGTGTGTGTGTGTGTGTGTGTATGAATGCCAGTGTATGTGTGTGTGTATGCTGGTGTATGAATGACAGTGTATGTGTGTGTATGCCAGTGTCTGAATGCCAGTGTATGTGTGTGTGTATGCCAGTGTCTGAATGCCAGTGTATGTGTATGTATGCCAGTGTGTGTATGCCATTGTGTATGCCAGTGTATGTGTGTGCCAGTGTGTGTATGCCAGTGTATGTCCAAGCACCATGACCAGTTCAGTGATTTGAAGTTGTTGTGGTGCTGGAAATCTGTATGCGCAGCATTTCACTATTCAGTTACTAACCCGACAAGTCTATGATTTCAAATAGGCATCATAGTCACACAAAAATAACGTAATATTTATTTTGAAGAAAGAAAACAAACCAACCCCATTTTGATATAGAATTTTATTGTGCCAAAACAAAATAATGATGTTTTATATTTAAAGGCACACTATAGTCACCAGAACAACTACAGCTTATTGTATTTGTTCTGTTGAGTAAAATCATTCCCTTCAGGCTTGAAGGCAGGCCCACTGTCATTTCAGAGAAAATGCCCCAAAATATTGAGCCGGTGACTTCACTGGCCACTCCTCAGATGGCTACTAGACATGCTTCCTAGGGCAGTTCTCCACATTCAATGTCTCCGCCCTCTGCATTGTGACACTTAATATTTCTGATTGGCCAGGGCTGTGTTTGAATCATGCTGGCTCTGCCCCTGATCTGCCTCATTGACAGTCTCAGCCAATCCAATGCTTTCCTGTTGGAAAGCATTGTGATTGGCTGAGAACCCCACTTCTGATGATGTCAGCCAAGCAGGCAAATCAGGGGCAGAGCCAGCCGCAGCAGATTGAGATAAAAGTAAGATTTTGCTATATTTAGGTGGGCAAGACAGTATTTTTAACACTATAGAGTCAGGAATACATGTTTGTGTTCCTG